TAACGGTTGATTGGCCCCTGCGTCCTATAACTGTTGCTTGTCTTTCGTTTACACCTTTTATCTCTGACGATGGACTCCAGAAAGAACCCAAAAGCTCAGAGAAGTAAAGTATGATTCCGGTGATCGCAACATCTACTTCTCTATCTATACACATACCTGGGATGCAAACGTTTGCCTTAATTCGGGATAATGTATGGTTCAGCAATGCATGTCCTATATTGTGAGCGCGTACAACCCTTCGATAGAGGCAAATAAACCAAAACGACGCAAATAAGGTGAGAAGTATGAAGTACCTTTAGATGCCGTGATAGCTGCCCTCAGTTGCATCTCAAACTGTTTGATTTCTTCAACAATGATATTGAGGCTGGTTTGGACACTCTTCAAATCCTCTCGGAAAATCTGCAAAGAGAAACGAGCTTTAAATAAGGTTCGGATTGCAAATACCTCTTTTATGCAATTTAGCACACATTTAGGATTTTGAAGGAAACTGTCTGGTAAAGACGTCTATATCTTACCCCCTGTCGGCCTATAAAAACTCTGGATGCTTAATTTAAACTTCGCGAGTAAGCCTGGAATGCAATATCAGTATTATCACTTGAACAGGACAGCAGCTATCGTTCGAAATTTTGATGAGGCGATGAACTTAAAAGCGGATCTCACAAACTAACATCAGGTTTATTCTATAAAGGACTACATGGACTAATATTTCCACCTAAGCCAGGAATATGCAATCTAGTCCCAATACCTGGTCAACCAGCCGCTTTCGATAACCCATTGGTAATGGCAGTGAAACGGCTTTTGACAACGCTGACTGAGCATATGTTCGACCAGGTAATTGAGAACCGCTACTGGTAAATATAACTCAAAGTATCGTTGGACTGAGCACCCTCTATTTGAAATAAAATCACCCCCCTCCCCATTCGACAGCGCAGTTACTGAAGAAAATAACAACCGTCACATTTTAAACGATCAAAATAATATCAGAGATTAATTGTAAAATATATTTTATAGCCACCGATCATTTCTCTCCAGCCTCATTCCCTCTTCAGCCCCTTATCTCTTGACCACAGTCCGCACTAGTTAGCATAAGGTCAAACTAGCATATGACTGAGGTGATGAATACGTGAATGAGCTTATAACTGACGCTGTATCGGTATGATTCGTCCGTTTTGGCCCACCCTGGACTACTAACTGACTTCAAGAACTGTTTGTTTCTTTTGAATTTTACTCCTTCCATAGTTAGGTACTGAGTCGTGCTGGCATCTCCATAGGATGACAAGCTACTAAAACTGTGGATTATTATGTATTTGTACATGCTTTCTGACCCATGCGCACGTATCAAAGAAGCAAAGCATGAGAGTTGAATGCTGAATTTATCAACGGTTTGTAGGTTGCTTAACATCGCTCTAAACGACAGGCCCCAACTTCACATTATCGGGTAGACGCCTTTTCTTCGTTCGATACCTTATGTGCGTTTATTACCATATAAAAAGAACTACTCCTCAGCAATTACATTTATCCGGAAAGTGGAGTCGGCTTGGTTGACCAAGAGATGGGAGTACTTCAAAGTCTTTTTCTGTCTATTAACCAGCATAATTTAACAACTATTGCATTATTGTACCAAATAGCGCGGGTGAAAACCCCGAAGATAGTTGCACCACGGAGATTGGTGGCCCCATCCACCTAATCAAAACACTGATAACTGTTTCAGAAGAGGCACGTGTGCACAGTGGTAGGGGTGGCCGAGGAATCCGGTAAATACCGTGGATCACGGTTGTACACTATATTCCAACGATGGGAGCTTGTTCACTTTCACAATGACAGAGCAATAAATTGTATTTTTCCGATATCCCTTCTTTTCCGATGATGCAGCTGTTTCAGATGGGCCTTGTCAATAGTTATATTAAAATGAGGGTGGGTCAAACGGCTAATAAGCCGCTTATAAACGATTAACGTTCCTGCGTCATAATTTGAGTATATTGTCTGTAAGAAAGCATTTAAATATTTTATAAATTAATCAAGAACGCCTGCAAATGCCCACGTGTAATTAAGCCAGAATAAAATAGTGGTAACGCGGGCTGTACTTTTGGAAAAGGTCACCTAACCTGTGTTTGACAGCTGTATTAGCAATACGGTCATTTATAAATGTGCACCTCTTTATTGTTTTACGATTTTTCGGATTCGACTGAAATACTTAGAAGAGTTTATTACGCGTCTTTTGAGAGATTTGCTCACTTGAGACCCTAACTCTTATTAAACAGTAATTAAAACCCCAGTATATTTGAGTGTTTCAAAATCTGACCAATCAGAACGGTTGTTAAAATAAAATCGATAATTTTACATGGTCCTGGGAACGATATCAAACTTAACCTCACTCTTATTTTTCCGATGATGTTCCATAATTAACAATCTGCAACCAAGCGTCATTGCGTGTACGCTAATTAAATTTCTTCACCTATCGGTAACCAGAAACACCTCGAAAAACCTAAAGGTTAATCAACGCTCATACATTTCTCATGAACATAATATATCGTATGTTATATTTCCTATATTATACCAATATGTGTTTAAACAAAGTTAACTAATAAGCATTTATCTGTACCATAAAACAAGTGCACACTTCAGCAATTTTTAATACTTATGTATGATATGATAAATGCGGCTGATTGCGGCATTTACTTTAAATGGTCATTGAGTTATATCGTGCAGTGTCAAATGGTCATATACTTCTTGTCACGCTTTTTTTAATCATCCCGACTTTCGATCCATCGTTTTCCCATTCTCCAGCTACAAGTTGCTATTCCGTTTTCCTTCGCTTTGTCGGCTTTCATTCTTGTTTATTTCCTTCTTTGCATTTATATTCATTGATTTCCGTGTATTTATTTCATTTTTAAACGTCTGACGAACGCTTTTCACCATGCCATAATTAGCAACACTGAAGTTAACTCCTCTTCTGTAGATCGGTTCAAAGTGTCGCTTTGTGAAACAGCGCAGAAAATGCCTCAATGTTTGATGCGGCAAAAGTCTAAGGTTAACACTTGCTTTACATTTTACTGCACTGCCTGAACCTTCAGGAATCCTTTTATACACCTTTCCCTGAGTAAATAGCACTCTTCGGCAATGCATTAGAGTCTGAAACATCTCCGATTCTGATTGCTCGAGTAGAAAGACAATTCCTCAAGACAGAGACAGCAGCAGAAGCGGCGAACTATTATTTTACGAACAAAAATCTCCATGTGCCGGATGTTTTATTTTATGTCAGCAGTACGCACGCCAAAATTGAAAAGGCACTTATATAAAATAAATGCAGGATAGCAGTTTCCTTCGCAACTGTCCCAGTCCAGTTTAAGCTGGTGACGTAAATGTTTCTATTTATGACAGTATTTTCAGATCTTATTTAATTTTGGCATGAAAATGTCTATAAAAAGGCAGCAGAAGTTCTGGGTGAAAAGAAAAGTTCGTGCATGAACATTCGCAATGCAAATGGATAAAGCGGCATTCGGAGAACCTCTAGGAATTAATAACCTGTTTGGCAAACTTTCATCACACATGTTAATAATTTAATATTAATCCAAGGTCTCTTCGGCCTTGGTGTCGGTAAACAGCCGAAAACTCGCAAAGCCTGCTTCCCCAGTTCAGAGATGGAAAAATTGGTTTATACCACCAGCAAGTAATTATGCGGCATATTAACGCAGCTTAGGTCAAATTTGCTAAGGCTGTCGTAGTGACGCTTGCACATTTAATGACGTTTGGAGCAAATAAACGGCGTCGCTTTAGTCGAGCGAGCTATTAATTAAGTGGATTAACCGGCAGCACGATAAGCAAACTGTGAATCATAAACTCGATCATGGAATGAGGAGTTAGGCACTATATTACTTCGATTGTCGTTTCTAAAACAGGTTTCTTCAAGTTTTATTAATAGTGTTACGTAAATTAAAGTGGTACGTTGTGGTTCACTGTAATGAACAGCCGTCAAACGAATGCTCCTAGAGAAGCTGAAGTCTCTTTTTGAAGCGGCAGCCATTAGGGGCATGTTCCCACAATTACTGTATGATCGATATGTTGCCGGCATCGGGAAATACTACACTGACCACGTTTTTCCTGGCTGGTATCTGTAAATCAAGTTAGACTCCACTTCTGTCTGGAAAATGTGCGCTTTCTGTTTGTTTTCTCATTTAGATACAACCTGACTTAAATGTATCTGAAAAAAATAGATTTTTGTTTATGATCTAACATTTTTTCTGCCGTTGCCACGCGCGCCGATCTGAATTGTTAAAGCATGTCGCAAAA